TCTATCTATCTATCTATCTATCTATCTATCTATCTATCTATCTATCTACTCAGTGATTAGCCTGGATTTTAATCCTGCTAGTCAAACTGCTGCCAGGTCTTTGGTAATACAATAGAAAAGCAGACTGATTTTTGTGCTAAGTAAGAAGGAAAGAGAAGGGGTTGTTTGAAACCTGGTCCCAGGTAAGCGAGGTTGACCTTGAACTCTATGCAGATGATGATGACCTTGAACTGATCATCCCTCCCCCTCCCAAGTGCCCGGATTACAAGCCTTAGTCACCATCCTGCATAAAGAGACAGAAGAGAGCAGGTTCCTATGATTCCCTTAATGTTTGGCGTTTTAGAGTTTGTGACAGCCTTAGGGATGGACGGACCTGGGGATTTATGAAGTGTAAGGTCTTTGATGTCCCTGTCCTCAGTCCTACTTTCTACCAGCTGAAGGGATGAAGCTGAAGGGATGAAGTCCCAGGAAAATTTTCAGTTGATCCTGGTTCCCTTCAACTCCTTTGTTCTCGGTCTGCGGCTCCCAGGCACTGGAATCATCTAGACAGCTCTGAGAGGTGCTCATGCAGGGGCTCCCACCCCATTTCAGGACCGAGTTGACATCTGGTGTGGCTGCCAGCCAGGACTCCAGCCATCTGCCTGTGACTCACTCCTGGCTTTGTGGGGACAAGGCAGGGGAGCGGTCAGAACCCTAGTGTATGTAAGGGGGAGGGAGTGGTGTTCTAACTCACAGGAGGGTCGGGTAGGGGGTCCCTCATTTTTTTTTTTTCAGAAATTTCAGCCTTGCTCGTGTTTCCTTGCTGCTTAGATATCAACGTCAAAGTCTTATAATTATCTGAGAATTTAGATTTTAGCACCCGGAGTGTCTGGAAACTCCTTTGGATTCTACTGTCGTGTGTCAGTGGTTTTCTGTGGTCAGAGGCGTATACACTGCAGCGTGCATCTTCAAGCCCTTTCCTTCATCCTGCTTTGGTACTTGGGGATGCTGGTGCTGCCTCAGTTAGGGCTTGCCGCTTTACAGGCATGGGTCCACAGAGAGAGAGGGCTGGGGGAAGGTGTCTTAGTTAGGGTTTC